AAAAAATTAGGAAACAACCTTCCTCAAGACACAGTAATACCACTTTTGGGTATATATCCAAAAGATACTCAATCATGCCACAAGGACATGTGCTCAACTATGTTCATAGCAGCATTGTTTGTCATACCCAGAACCTGGAACCAACCTAAATGCCTCTTGACCAAAGAATGCATAAGGAAAATGTGGTACATTTACACAATGGAGTACTACACAGCAGAAAAAAATAACGACATCTTGAATTTTGCAGGAAAATGGATGGAGCTACAAAACATTATTTTGAGTGAGGTAACCTAGACACAGAAAGACAAATATCATATGTACTCACTCATAGGTGGTTTTTAAACATAAAGCAAAGAAAACCAGCCTACAAACCACAATCCCAGAGAACTTAGACAACAATGAGGACACTAAGAGAGACTTACATAGATCTAATCTACATGGGAAGTAGAAAAAGATAAGATTTCGTGAGTAAATTGGGAGCATGAAGACCTTGGGGGAGGACTGAAGCGGGGAGCGGAGAGGCAGGAGGGGAACAGAGAAAAATGTAGAGCTCAATAAATATCAATAAAAATATATTTTAAAAAATGCATCCAGACCACATTATTCTTAACACATCCTGACCTCAAGAGAAGCTATTGAGGCAGGTTCTGCCCTGCTGGGCTTTATTGGAGCCTTCATGGCAGGGGTGGATGGGGAAATGGAATGGCCAGCTCTAGTTTCCTGTGGTCATCCTGCCCCACTTTTGGAGAGTCAGAATTTGAGAAGCACAGGGCAGAGACAGGTTCCCCAAGACATAATGCATTATAGAACATGGCCTCTCGCTGCCACTTCATTACCACATTGCAGGGGACTGTTATAGTGATTCCTTTCCCCTGGTATATAATGCTCAACTCTCAACAAGACAGTTCCAAGGATGAGTCAAAGTGGGTACCAAAACCAAAATCAGATAGTGTAGGGAGGTTGGATTTAACAGACTGGGAATTTTAAATAACTTATTAAAATGCTAAAATGTGCCAGGCAGTTGTGGTGCACACTTTTAATCCCTTACTTGGGAGGCAGAGGCAGGCAGATCTCTGTGAGTTCGAGGCCAGCCTGGTTGACAGAGCTAGTTCCAGGACAGCCAGGGCCATATAGAGAAACCCTATCTTAAAAAACCAAAATTAATAAATAAAATGCTAAAATGCTGGACTAGGAAAATGGCTCAGTCAGTAAAGTGCTTTGCTTTGCAATCAGAAGGTCTTGAATTCAGTACCCAGGAATCCACATTAAAAAGCTGGAGGTGATAGCTCATGCTATAAATCCAGATTTGGGGAGGCAGAGACAGGCGGATTGCTGGGGCATACTGAGTAGTCAGACAGACTATCCTACTTGGTGAGCTCAAAGAACACACACACACACACACACACACACACACACACACACACACACACATACTGCTAAGGTACTACCAGAAAAAGTAGATGATACATAAAAACAAGACCACAGTTGGCACAAGGGAGGACAGAAAATGAAGTCTGTACTTGGGATGTTTATACTCTATTGACTGTTGGGTATTTTATTTATAAAAATGTAAAGGGGAAGACAGAGACTGGGGAGACTTAGCAGTTCCCCCATAAAGTCTTTCCATAGTGTAAAATTTTCAGGCATTGTCTCTTCAAAATTACTTTTTCTATTTTTTGAGATTATAATTACATAAATTACCCCTTCTTTTTCCTTCCTCCAAATCCTTTCATAAACCACTCCTTCCTCTCTTTCAAATTCATGGCTTCTATTTGTATTAATTGTTTTTACATATATATATATATATTTCTAAATACAATCTGCTCAGTCTGTATAATATTACTTGTATATATGATTTTAGGGCCGACCATTTGGTATTGAATAATCAATTGGTGTGCTCTTCCCTGGGTAAGACTATTTCTCCAGTAGTTCTTTGACAAGGTACAAGTTGGCCTTGAACTCCTAATCCTCCTGATCCCAACTCCCAATGCCAGAATCATGGGTGTGTGCTACCACACTCAGCTTAAACTTTGCTATTTTTTTAAAATATTTATTTATTTGTTTATTATGTATACAGTATTCTGTCTGCAGGCCAGAAGAGGACACCAGGCTTCATTACAGATGGTTGTGAGCCACCATGTGATTGCTGGGAATTGAACTCAGGACCTTTGGAAGAGCAGGCAATGCTCTTAGTCGCTGAGCCATCTCTCCAGCCCCAAACTTTGCTATTTTTAAGATTTATTTTAATATTTTATTTTATGAGTATTTTGCCTGCATTCTTGTATATGTGCACCGGTGTGATAAGTCCTTTTGTATACGTGTTGCTTTTATTGTAGCAAGAAATTCTCAGAGGGTGACATTTTCTTTTCATTCCACTTTGACACAAATATAAGTTTAAGATAAGTATGCATCCTTATTTGTTTCTGAAGGGGTATTTTTCCAGGTCATCTATTGTATTTATTTGCTGCTGTCACAAACTACCATAAATTTAATGAGTCAGCCAGCACTTTGCCTGCTATGGTGGTGGTATCTGCCTGGAATTCTGGTACTTGGGAGGTGGAAGCAAGAGGATCAGGAATTCTAAGTCATCCTCAGCCTCAAAATGAATTCAGTGAATTTGAAGCCAGCCTGGGCTACATGTGACCCTGCCAGAAAGAAAGAAGTAGTGTATCCTAGTTTTAAAGACCAACACGTACGAGAGGCTACATTCCTGTGGAGGCTCCTGGCTCTCAGGCCTAGGATATTATGCCCCAGGCAGTTTTGGACTGGACGTTCCTCACTGTTTTTTTCCCCACCTCAGAACCTTTCTCTTATTTTATCAGCAGCTCAACCATTTGGTCACAGGGTTTTAAATTTCACCCTCATTTTAGGGTTTTTGGATTGGGAGTGTTACCTGAACATCCCATTTCTAAGTCTATTGCTGCAGTTGGAATTTTGAATGTCTCAGAAGTTCGTGTTTAAGAGCTTAGTCTCTCAGGCACTGCTACTGGGAAGTGGAGCCTAGGGGGAGCGGCTATGTCTTTAGTTTGAGACATCTTCCCCTTCACCCCTCCAGACAGGGTTTCCCTGTAGCTTTGGAGCCTGTTCTGGAACTAGCTCTTCTAGACCAGAGATACGCCTGCCTCTGTCTCCTGAGTGGTGGGATTAAAGGCATGTGCATCACCACTGCCCAGGCCAGTTCGAGATGTCTTGAAGGGTCTTAGGGGACACCAGTCCCTTCCTTTTCCTCTTGGTCATGCGTCTCACTTGACACTCCAGCTATCAGGTGCTGCCCAGAGTGCAGGGCCAACCAGCCGTGGCCTGGAACTTTGAAATGTGAGCCGAAAATCAATTTTTTCTCTCTGCAAGCTTATTGCCTCAGGTATGCCTGTGCTGACTGGAAACCCTACTGATACAACTCGGTCTCCATTACTTTCTCCTTCATACACACTCTGCTGCTCTTCCTTCCCTTCTGTTCTATCTCTAGGCTTTGAAAACAGCTTCCCAGGTCTGCTCGTGAAAGGGTGAAGGCACCGGCAGTGTTGAGCAGAAAAGCCCTACCTAAAACTTACATGGCTCAGTGATGTGGACTCTACCTAACATGCCAGACGGTCCAGTGAACAAGAGTCGCACAACTCTCCCTGACCCTGCCTAGGCTTTTGTAGCTTCGATTCCACATTGTATGATCTACCCAGCTCACGTCCTTCCTGACCGATTTGGGGTATTTAATTCCGTTCTCTGATTGTGGCACTGGCCCACACACTGTATCTCATTCTCCTCTGAAAATGAAGCAGCTTCTTCATATCTGGCTTATTGTTGTACCCCAGTTTCTTAAGTGTGTGCTAGAATAGGAGTTCAAATGGACTGTGAGTGATCAGGTAACCAACAGGGAGCATACAGACGGGAAATGAGGAATGGGTGAGTTTCCCTTTCCTCTCCCTCCCTTCCCCAAGGATCCCAAGAAGCAGCACCCTCTGTTGAGTATATTAAATAAACTGTTTATTCAGGAGGAACAATTAAAGTGAGCGATTATAAAGTGGATTACAAAAACAAATAAGCACAACCCTCTCCAGGTTCAAAGACAAGATGGTCCTGCTGCCACAGGTACTGCCAGTTCCAGGCTGAATGTGTGAGTAGGTTAGTGTGCAAGTGTGAACACACACATACATACACACTGTTTGCAAAGGGGTGTGGACTTCGATGAATGACCATGTGTGTGTCTGCAGCTTGGCCCCTTCCCTGCCCCCCAAACCAACACCGGCTGTGTGAGACACACAGCAGCAAAATTGAGGCCTTCATCCTTCCCTCCCTCCCCCTCAGCTCTCACTCTGAGACCCCATCTCCTCCGGTGGCAGTTTGACCACCCTCAGTCACAAAGAGTCTCAGTGATCCTGTCAAGACATCTGGGGGAGGAGGAAAGAAACAGTCGGGGCACCAGATGTGTGGCTGGGATCCTGCCTATTGGCTCCCAGGCCCATGCCCTCCCATGTGACACTGCCCAGCAAAAAGCCACCCAGAGAGGCTGTCCCTGTGGATGTTGAGAGCAGCCATTGCCTCTCAGAGTCCCCACCCCAGAGCCCCAAGAAGTCGAAGTTCTAGTCAGGGAGGAAGGAAGGAGACTACAACAGTGAAAGTTGTGAGGCCTTTCCCCACAGGTGGCCATTTGGAGACTGAAGGAACTGAGAGCAGGTCCCTGTGGCAAAGTGTGATACAATCTTCCTGAAGAGGAAACTGCAAGAAGGGGCAGGGCCCAGGCAGCAGGCAGAAATCTGGAATGGTTGGTCTCTTGGATAGGAAGCCCACCCCGAAAGAATAAAGTAACAGTCGCAGAAGAGGCAGGTTCTGGAGCATGGTCCCGCTCTAAAGCGGTGCAGGTCTGGCCCGTAGCCACGGATCCACCCATAGGCACGTGTAATAGAATCTGGGGTAGGGCAGGCCTCTGCTCTGTTCCTGCCTTGCTCCACCACCCCCATGTGAGGTATTGAGCTTCTCTCCCCCCCCCCCCCCCCCCCGCCCGCTATGGCTGCATCCCATCCCTGCTAATACATGGGGTCGTAGGTAGGGATCAGCCCAGCAGCCCCACACAGCTCTTATGTGGGGTCCAGCTCAAAGACCCCATCACTGGTAGGGGTAGTAAAGAAAGAAGGTGGGTCTGAGACAGTGGACTCCGGCCCCCCACTGCCCTGCCCCCCAGAGCGCCTCTCCTCCAGGCGCAGGCTGCGCTCAAAGTCTAACAGCTGCCCCATGAAGTTGAAGTTGGGTGAGATGTTAGACTTCTTCCGCTTGACCAAGTCGTAGGCATCGTTGAGTGAGAGGTGGAGCTTCTGCATGAGGTAGGCCACGGTGACAGTGACAGAGCGGCTGACCCCTGCCAGGCAGTGGACGAGCACCCCGCAGTTCTGGGACAAGGCCTCATCTAGGTAGAGCAGGACAGAAACAAACACCCCCCCCAGGCAAGGGTCAGCACGAGTGAGGTCAGAGCCAACTGAATTTTGGGGCGCAGCATCTCAGTCTCCCCATCCTTCAATGCCCATATGTGGGAAGTTTCACTGGCAGATGACCAGAGCTCTACCCCCTCCCCAAGTGCCTTGTGGGCTCTGGGAATGGTAGCTAATCTTATAGGAGAGGGTAAGGAGCAGGAGAGGCCAGGAGTCAGTCTGGTGGGTGGGGACAGGTTGAGAGAGAACACAGTGGGGATAGGGAGGACTCACCAATGAATGCAATGGCCTCTGGAAAGAACTGGGACAGATTCTGGCTCCAATGGTCAGAGATGGGAATCTGCTTGTAGTGAAAGTCACCATTCTTCTCAAAGAGGTTAGGGAGGTTGGGGGTGACATTGAGGATATAGCGGATGCCAAGCTTGGCAAGGCTCTCCAAGTTGGCTGAATCTCGGGCACTGCCTAGGTAGAGATTGGGCAGGATCTGGACTGGGAAGGGTGGTAGCAGCCCAGTTGGAGGGGATGTGGTGCTCTCCGAATCTAGGCCACAGCTCATGGAGTCGCGGTCAGCCTCAGACTCTGCATCAGAGACATCAGAGGCCAAGCACAGACCCCCTAGCCCCACCACAGGCACAGGGCTAGGTACTGAGGCCAAGCTTGAGCTGGCAGGACCACTAAAGCTGGTTTCACAAAGGTTAGGACACTCGGCCTGGAATTTGCTGAAACCACCTGTCAGGAAAGAATGGGAGGGGGTCTTGCTATTATAGCCACCTGGGTAGCCAAGAATCCCTAGCTGGGGCTAGAGAGCTGACCCTACACAGCCCAGGTGGGTTGCAGATATTGCCAAAGGGGACATGCAAGCCATCAGTTTCACCTATACTGGAGCACCACGTGTGGTGAGTGCTGCGATACCCACCCATCCTCACTCAGCACTTGTGGCTGTTTCACGACCATTCTCCCCATTTTCCAAACTTATAAATGGGCTCAGAGGGATGAAGGACAAGCCCAAGGCCATGCTCAGGTCTACCTTCCCAAAAGCTGTCTGGCAGGTTATTGGGAGGGAGTCTTACCTACATTTTACACAAAATAAGGTGAAGTTTGCCCAAGGATAAAGTAATTATGAAACCTCCTCGGAAGGCACGGCCTTCTCCTGACCTGATGCCACCAGAGGCGGCCTGTGCCCTCTCTCGGCCCACTGCCCCTCACTTACCCTGTAGGTAGTAGGCCAGGTAGCCTTCTTCCCGCAGCTTCTGGAGCAGGACGCCCAGAACCGAGTCAGCCTCCCACTCTGGGGCTTCTTGTGCCTGTGCCTCTGCGTCTGCCTCTCCACGCTGGCTTCGGCCACTACCCTGGTCGTACAGAAGCACAGGGGCGGGTGGGGGAGGCTGCAGCGGTGGCCCAGGCAAGAGCGAGCGCACAGACAGGCTCCCTCTCCGTAGGCGGCGCAGCATCAGGGCGGGCAGGGCCACGCTCAGCGCCCCGCGGATGCGCGCCGACTCGTACAGCTCCCGGCTGCGGCAGTCCAGCAGCAGAAGCTGTGGGCGCGGGGGCGACAGCGTCTGGCGCAGCCACAGGCACGAACGACCCAGACTCTCCATGGGTGCGCGGCGTTCCTCACTTCTGCACGTCGGACAGGGACAGCGGGTGCTGTGGAGAGAGATCAGGCGCGGAGTGAGGGCAGGTTTGTCTCTAGTCCCGCGGCATGGACCAGACTACTGGAGAAGGGAAGTCAACCCCTGTCCTGAGGGCAGGCGCCCAGTGTCCCTACAGGGACATTCCTCCATCGCCTGCTTCTCTCCTTGCACTCCACCCACAGTGAGAAGACCAAGGAAGGTGCCCCAGGAAAAACACCCGAGGCTACCGCCACTGGGATGCTGCTCCCGGTCCCGCTTAGATAGTTTGCGTGAGACATTCCAGAAGAAGAAAGCTGGGCGTCTAGTGGCCTCCTGAACGAAGACTTTTTCTGGGGTTCTAGAACTAAAGCAAGTTCCCTCCACACCCCTTTTCTGAGTTTCTCACTTGCCCCGATCTCCATCACTTCCCAAGTTCGACTTTGGATGTGTGGAGAAATTGGGTTCAAGGCCTGGATTTCCTCTATGCCCAGAAAAACCCAGAGAACAAGAGGGTCACCAAGGTGAGGGGCCTAGGCGAGTCCTTGTAAGAGCTGACCCGGCCCCACTCTTCCCCACCCCAGGAGAGAACAAAAGGAGAGACCTGGAGCGAGATCCAGAGGCAGGCGACCGCGCGTGAACGTCCTGGCCACAGCTAGTGCCACGGCAGGGCGCAGGTATCGTCCCTGGGGAGGGAGTCCCCAGGCTTGGGCTCTCGGAGACGGCGGGGTGGCGGAGCAGGCTCACACGTGGAAGCCAAGCCTCGCGCCACTCCTGCGCTGGCCGCTTCCTGGCAGCCCGATCCAGCTTCCACCTTGGAAGCCTCTGCCTTCGGACTGACTTAGTAGCAACTCGGAGGGGCGGGGCGGGGCGGGGCGGTGGGACGGCAGGGCGGGCTCAGGGGCCAGGCCAGCCTACCAGTGCGAGCGAACAGCCCGGTGGGAGTTGCGAGCAGCAGGCTGAGCTAGGGCTTCAACCCAGGCGGGACAGGGTCGGGGCAGAGGCCAAGGGCAGGTCGGGGGGCCCAGCAGGGGACCAGTTGCTGTTGCCCCTGCTCGGCGCCAGTCTGGTCTCTGGAGGCAGGAAGAGGGGTGGGGACAAAAGCCCAGAGCCCCAGAACCAGAAACTACCTCAAACAACTCACTTAATAATCCTAAACTATCAGCCCTTGTCTGGAACTAGATGGCCCCCATCTGTATAATGGGCTAATCAGAGCCATCCAATTTGGGCTACTGTGAAATGCCATTAAAATACTTAAGGTACGAGGCAGCTCCTGGGTCCCCTTTTCCCATCTGGGCTTTATTTGTACAGACCTGGCTAAAGGTACCCAGAAATTCTGAGCACCCAACTCTAAACTGGGACACTATGCTTTTATTACATGATGAATCCTAAAAGCCATCCCTGCCGCCTCCTCGTGGCCTTCTTCCCATAAAGCCCTGGATGGATCCACACGGAAGTAAGTCGTTCCACTGCAGTGTCACCATCTCCATCCTCCCTGTCTTTTGCACTGGCCATGGCTACAGAAGTCACTGTCCTAGTTTCTGAAACCAGCTTGATCTCCACCCTGCCCCATGCCAGAGCACCATTCGGTCCACAAAAGCTGGTGGCCACCAACCAGCCCACCAGACAGGTGATGAACAGGAAAGACACACAGGGGCTCCCCTTGCCTGGGTCTTCCAGTCCAGCAGGACACACTAACAATAAGCAAAAACACCGAATGAGATATCAGGGTGATAAGTGCTAACAATGAAAGGAGAGGTAGGGGGAGGCTTCTAAAAAAGCCCCATCTGGCCATGTGTTCTTTCTCTGCTTAAAGCCCAAGAAAAGTAAATAACAGTGTTAAAGGAAAACACACAACAGATAAGATAAAGCTTGCACAAAATAATCAAAGGGTTAAGACCCCGCAGATAAATGGGTAAGGAACTCAAGGACTGCACACTCTGCCTGAAGGAAGGAATGCGATGGGGTAAGAATATTTGGGGAAAGGTTGAAGCTCAGGCTTGGAAGGAAAGGCAATTCAAAAAAATAAGGAAAATACTTCCCTGTTAACTAACATTAGTAGAATGTTCTCAAAATGAGAACACCCAGTGTTAGCAAGGTTGCTGTTAAACAAGTATGCTGTTCTCACCCTAGGGGGGATTTTGTTTTGGCAGCACCCTTTTGGAAACAAGTGTAACAATAAACAACAAAAACTAGACAAGAGCAGGGCGGTGGTAACACACACCTTTAATCCCCCGCACTTGGGAGGCAGAGGAAGGCAGTTCTCTGTGAATTTGAGGCCAGTTTGGGCTACAAAGCAAGTTCCAGGACAGCCAGCACTGTTACACAGAGAAATCCTGTGGGGGGGGGGGGGAGAACCAGATAAGAAAGCTGGACAAGGGTGGTGGTACATACCTCTAATTCCACCACCCAAGAGACAGAGATGCTCAGATCTCTGAGTTAGAAGCCAGCCTGGTCCAGAACTAGTTCCAGGACGGCCAGGACTACACAGAGAAACCCTGTCTCAAACGGCCTTTCAAAAAACAAAACAAAACAAAACAACAACAAACAATGAAAATCCCAAACAAAAAATAATCAGACAAGAAAAACTCACACTTATAAGTTACTTCTGGCGCTCCAGCTTAAGGAACGAAAGACAAGAAAGCGGACTGGTGCACACATAATGGGTACTGCAAGCATTTTTCTCAGGGGTGAAAAATGTAAAGTCTCATAAAGAGTAACATTTAACACCACTGCAGACCATGTATGCCTTCTGAAAAGACTCCTCTAGTAAGTCAGAGTTAAGATGAGATGCTGTGTGAAGTGATGCTAGCGAAGAAGCTGGCCATACAGACTAAGCAGACTAAGGCTACCTCAGAGGGCCCTCCAGTCGTGTGTCGTACCCCCCCCCTTCACCACTGTAGTGGACTACCAAGGAGATCAGGTTACTGAGCTCCCACCTCGCCATGTCCCCGCTTCCAAGATGAGTTTCAATGTTGGTGTTCAAAGGGTTCTGGGGCTCTGTGGACACAGTTCCACCCAAGTCTCCTCTGCTGGCTGCTCCTGTCCCAGTCCCTATACCCTGTTGATCTCATGGGCAAGTCGGCAGGCTTCCTTCTCTATCTCACAGTGGCCTCGAAGAGGCAGCGCTGTGGGTTTCTTTCTTTCTCAATATTCTACTTTCTCCTTTCCATACTAGTTTCACAGTGTCAGAAGTGGGCATCTGGTGCCGCCTGGCCATGGGTATCCAGACTAGGTCCTTCCTCCATAACTCCACTGCACCTACAGGTAAGACCTTGGCGGTAGGCCAGAGGTTGAAGACAATACAGAAGTTCTGCAACGTACCACACTTGTAAGTAGGGCTGGCTGGGGTTGTCTTGATTATATTGTGAATGGGGTAGTGGTGGCATGGGACCGTGGATGCAGACAGCTGGAGAACCAGTATCCCACCCTCCCAATCCTGGAGGCTCAGAATGCTTGAAGGGAGGATCTTCAACCTGAAGGAAATATGGATACTCATAGAAGTCTAGGTGTGCTCTCTGGAGTAGGTTTTCTGGAAGAAGTGATAGGAACTGTCCTGGGGATGCACATGGGAGGGAGGTACCCCGCAATGGTGAAGGAGAGGGAATCCTCGGCGTCAACAATTGGCCCTACTCCTGCCTACACCTTGTTCTAGGCCCCTGCTGGCAAGGCCCCAACTCTAGTGTGAAATAGGGAGTCTCCAAAGTCAGCGCTCAGTGCGCGACGCCTGCCGTGCCCGCAGTGCCAGCAAACAGGACAAATGGGAACCTGTTGCCACCCCCGCACTGCAGGGTTCGGTGCAGCCAAGCCCCCCCCCCCCGCATTCGCCCCCACTCATGTCCCTGGCAGCGTCTGCTTGCGCGCTGGCCCCGCCCCTCGCCCGCTTCTCCCAGCCGCCAGGGTTGGGGAGACCGCCTCACTTAGGGCCTCCGCTGGCCCCCTTTGGCGGCGGTAGTGTCAGGCGGCGCTCGCGCGACCCGCCGCAGGGTGGGCGCTGAGCCCACTGCCGCTCCAGCTGAGCGCCCCAGAGCCTCCTGGCCGGACCAATGACCCCCACAGGTTCAGCGCGTGATGCGGGCTCTCTTAGGTCCCCCTGAGTTGCCCAAGAGCGGCACTGCCCCCAGCAAAATGCACGATTCCCACCTGGCCCAGTGGTAGGATTTCAGCCGTCACGGCCGGGTCACATGGCCAGGAGCGCAACTCCCAGAGACAGGGATTCTACCAAATGCAGTGTCTTTTCCACAAAACCCACTTTCCACTGGGAATGGCTTTATGCTTTTCCAGGTCCAGCTCCTCGCCGGACTGGGAGTTCCTCCAAGGCAGGAACTGGTGTGTGCCCGGTCCCAAGCTGGCCCCAGCCCCCCAGTGAGGGCCTGAGGGCGTTCGCAGAAGAAATACTCATTAACAAAGAAGGCATGAATGAATGAAACCAATTGTTGCCTGGGGGAGCCCAGGAGGGTGCTGCTCCTGCTGCTCCTGCTTTTTCCTTTTATCCAGCACACACTCCTCCCAGACACGCACAAACACACGTGCACACATAGCACTCCTCACAGCATACATGCAGTCTGGAACACAAACAGTGCATGCAGACTTCAGCCCTTAAGGAAGCAACCCACTATGTGAAGGACCCCTTTGGTCCCAGCTAGGCCTCCTCCATTTCAGTGCCTGCCTCTCCTGTCCTTCCAGCCCCACACCCATTGTCTCCAGATCTAAGTACCATCCATACCTTGGGCCTCAATTGCCTTCTTTATCTCTTAGAGAAGAAGAAGTCAAATCAGTCCCTGGGGAATCTCAAGGTCTAAGGAGGCATCTGGAGGGGTGTCCCAAGCTAGAAAGCCACTGCCTGGCAGAGATGCAACCAAATGCTGTAGTCTTTAGAGCCTGTGTGCCAGGTGTTGGGGTGGTGGTAGGAGGGACTCAGAGACGTGTAGGGTAGTGTTCAAGGCTATTTGCGATGGGGGCAGGGCGGGATGCTGAAGCTTTAGCAATCTAGCAGGTGTCCCTGTATATTAGGGTGTTGGAGATCTGGAGGTGTCTGCCTGGGGAATGGGGAGTTTCGGCCGCTGGAGTGTGCATTTTGTTATAGTGGGTGGGTAACAGTGACTCTGGACTGTGGGGACGTGGGTGGGTGTCTGTAATGGGCATATGGGAAGTTTGTGATGATAGGGACATAGTGTATGTGTGTGTGTGTGTGTGTG